AGACCAGAGTATAGCAGCTGGGGCACCATGTTGAAGTTGTACTGCACTTCTGGAATACTGTGTGCAGTTCTGCTCACCCTATTGTAGGAAGGATGTTATTAAACTGGAGAGGGTTTAGAAAATATTTCGCAGGATGTTGCCAGGACTGGGGGGTTTGATTTATAAGAAACAAGCTGGATAGGCTGGGACTTCTTTCACTGGACCATAGGAGGTTGAGGGGTGACCTTATTGAAGTTTATAAAATCATAAGGGGCATAGAGAAGGTGAATTGCAAGGGTCTTTTCCCGAGGGTGAGGGGAGTTCAAAACTAGGAGACATATTTTTATGGTGACAGGAGAAAGCTTTAAAAAGTTGCCCCTCATAGCCTTTTCTTTTTAAAAAGACAGTGCCTCGTGTGGAATGAGCTGCCAAAGGAAGAAGTGGTGGATGTAGGTACAGTTATGTTTAAAACACATTTGGATAAGTACATGAATAGGAAAGGTTTGGAGGTATTTGGGCCAAATGCAGGTAAGTGGGAATAGTTTAATTTGGGAACATGGTTAGCATGGACTAGTTGGACCGAAGGGCCTGTTTCCATGCTGTATGACTTTATGGCTTTGTAGAAAATCTTCATGAAATGCATTAAATTCTCGCTCACTTCTCCCACACCTTTGTGGAGAATCAGAGATAAAATAAAAATAAAGCAAAATAAAACTAAAGCTGTACCATGTCAATTAACATTCTTTTTAGGAGTACCATGCGCTTAAGGATTATCCTAAACAACTGATATATATATATATCTAGGCTGCTTACGGCAAGAAGATTCCACTTTATTGATATTTTCTAATCAACATCTGGAGCAGGTGGGAAGAAACTCAGTCCAATTGCTCATTTTGGGACTCAGTTCAAAGGGTAACTCAATAACAGCACATTCCAACATACTCTTTGCACAGTACAGTTTTTACAAGTGAAGAAAGGTTGGATAGGATAGGTTTTAGTTTCCTGGTTTAGAAATGAACCAGGCAACTAGGTTGAACTGAAAAGGTCTTGGAGTGGTCTCAACTGGATGGATATGGAAGGGATGTTGCTTCTTATGGGAGAATCTAGAATGAGTGATCATTTTTAAAAAAATATAAAGGGTCATCCATTTAAGACAGAACAGGCAAAATGTCTCCTCTCAGAAGGTCTCGAGTCTTTAGAACTCTCTTCCAAAGGCACAGAAAGCACAGTCCTTGAATATTATGGCAAAGTTAGATTGATTCTTGATAAGCAAGGGAGTAAAAGATTACATAGAGTAATTAAATTAGCTATTTATCTTATTGAATGGCACAGCAGACTTGAGGCCAAATGGTCTACTTGTGCGTTTAATTTGCACGTTCAACACAGAAATTCTACGTTAGTACACAAAGGATATAATAGAGGGGTCAGCAATTTGGTTGCCCCATATGTTGATTTAGCTTTTCAGCCAGACATGAGTTCACATTGATATCCTCACCTCAATTGATTCAACAATTATACTTTGGCAAATTTAAAACTAAACATACAAAATCTTAATTCCTATCTGTCGATTACCACTCTGCAGCAGAATTAATCTCAGTCACATTTTCAAAACAAAAATGTATCAAGATAGCATGTCTTTATATTCAAACTCTGACCTTCAAGTAAATTAAGCGTTAATAATTCATTTCAGAAATACAAAAATGTCACAATATACTTAGAGCTCTTGGGTTTACTTGTTAAACTGTTCTGCCAACTGTCTAATCTTTAGTACTGTGTAAAAACTTTTCCAAGAGACTGCGAAATATCAAGCATTTTTTTCCATTGTTGCACCAAATGTATAACCAGGTGTTGAAATGGTCACTAAAATTATCATGAAAATAGCAGTTATTTGTCACAGTTTGGGTCTAATTACATCTTTCAGGTTCAAACAAATATAGCAAAGGCAGTTAGCACACTCTTAAGCTGGGAGCTTGATGTGTACTGGATTGGTCATGTTGCATTCTGACTAGTCCGATCAGAGCAGCGCACGCACAACACAAGGTGATACAATGTCATGGGAACTAACGTACTGCAAGGCTGTTTCCAGGACCAATATACAGTGATTGTTATTGACAGTAGATAAAACATTTGCTATCACAAACTGTTTCAGACTCAATGTCAGCTGTAACAACAGGACCCGAATCTCTACATGTTAAAATGCAAACCACACAACAGAGGCCACAACCAGATAATATGACGACATCCAAAGTTGTCACACTGCATAGAAAATGTGCTAGTTGCATAGCACAGAATCATGGAATATGACAGGACAAAAGGAAGCCAGTTATGTCTTTTTTTAAAAAAAAAAAAGACCTGTCCAATTTAGTACCACAACTCTGCCTTTTCATCAGCTCCCTGCAAATCAGTATCCTTTAAATTCAAGTCCAAATTGCCTTTCAAAATAAAAACAAAATGTTGTTGAGTAACTCATGACTTGCAGCATCTATGGAGAAAAAAAATAGAATTAATGTTTTGAATCCAATAGGACTCAGCCATATTGGACTTAGCATTGACTCTGTTACTGTCTCCACAGATTGTACCAGACCTGGTGAGTTGTGCCAGCATTTTCTGCTTTTATTTCAGCTTCAGAATTTGTAGTTTATTTTTTGCTTTTATTTGACTGCCTATGGAATCTCATTCCACCACCCTATCAAACTGTGCATTCCAGGTTTTTACAACCACATGTACCAACATTTCTAATTTCCCTTCTAATTCTTTTGCCAGTTATTTTAAACCTATGGCTTCTAAGTTACCCATTATCTAGCTAAGATAACAATTCCTACCTGCTCTATCCAAAACCTTGACAATCTTGAACAGCTTAGAAGCTGTCAACTCTCCTGTCTGAGAAAAATCACAGCTTAAACAGACAAAATACTGCACATACTGAAAGCTGAAAATAAAATAAAACTCTGGCAATATTTAGTAAGTCTATAACTGCGTGACAAGAGAAGGGAAAAAAGTTAACGGTTAAGGCTAGGGCTCCTTCTGATGAAGAAAGGCCACAATGAAACATTGAATGTTTCCCTTTACATGTAGACCACCAAACCTCCTCAGCAGTTAATGCTTTATCAGCTTCTTGAATCATTCAGCATAAACAATGCCTTCAGCCTTGGTAGCAATCTCTCAAGTCCTTTGCATAGCCCGTCATGACACCCTTTGTAAAGTGTGGCATTTAGAGTTGCCCAGCACAATACCTCAGTGACTACGAACTGTTTCCTTGTTTTTGCACTCGGTACTTTTCGGAATGTGCAATACTGGCCAGCTAAAGAGCTTGCAGGATATCAAGAAAAAAGTGGTACAGACAAATTCATAAAGCATTTGACAAAAGCTCAACAGTTTGTCAATGTCACTGGAAGCTAGAGGATTTTCTACAGTTTATTTCAAAACCAATTAGTTTTACATCAACAGTTAAATAGATAGAAAAGCAAACCAGAACATTAATCCTCACAGAGCTTAAAATGTTCAGTCACAGAAAACCAGTTACCTAAGTGTCATCGCACAGACTTCAGAAAACATTTCTATCTTGTGACTATAAAGGAACCGTGGACGTTTACATCACAAGAGAAGTCCTATAACTCCCAAAGTGCTGGCACTTGTGCTCTGCTAAAGCAATTTATTATTCATCTGTGTACCACTTTCTCCGCATTGCCATGCACTCTACTGTTTCAAAGATTCGTACAAATTTCCCTGACAAGGTGCAGCCACATTTTTTGACAACACACTCCATGGTCCAACAAACTTAATGAAAAAATGCACAATTTGTGATCCTATTGTAAATCAGGCCATTCAGGTATTCAAACACTACAGATTATTCTGCCCTTCTACAGAGTGCATGTTGGATCTTCTGAAATACAAAATAAGTTTGAAAAATTCATAAACTGCAGATGAAGATAATAGTGAAGCATGACGTTTTGCACAGAAAATTTGCAAAAGGTCATCACTTACCTGCAAAGTACACAAACTGAAGTGTGAAATCTAGGATACTGAGCAGAAGAACATCAGAATGATGAAACAACTCCAGCACTGCTGCTGATGGGGAAATTGATACCAGCAATTTGAAGCAACAGACTACAAGTAATGCACAGGCATAATATCATTTAAAAGTCTTAACAGAACTTGCAGCAAACACAGGCCATTTGGCCCACTTTGGGTTATGCTAGTGTGTTTCTGTGCCAAAGGAGCCTCTTCCCTCCCTACTTCAAAGTACCCAACAAACCACTGCCACACAGATCACAAAGGAGCCAGGGACAAACAAAATTAAATTGATGGGAGAGAAAGCAGATGGAGCTGAAACCACTGAAGCACAGGTCCCAAAGAGTGATAGATCAGAATTAATCAGTTCTCAAGAAGGGTCAAACACTTCAACATGTTAACTCCGTTTTCTCCTCACCTACCATGTTTTTCCAGTGATTTTTTTTGTTCCAAATCTCTAACATTAACTCTTACAATAAAACAAAGAGCTGATCACAGATGGCTCTTGGGCACAAAGGTTCAGGGAGAAAGGATCGGTTTCCAGAAAAACTAGAATATTGCGAACATGACAGTGGACTGGGGTGGGGGAGGCAGCAAAAGGGGGGTATTTGGGAAGATGGCCCTATCACAGGCTGTGAACCCCTCTCCCCACAAACTGCCTCACCTCTCCCACCTCGCTCTCTTTATCCCACCCCCTCCCCCAAGCCCCTTTCTCTCTCTTTCCTGACCCCTCTCCCACATCCCCTCCCTCCAGACCCACAACTTCCCCAATCTGCTCTCCCACACCCCCTCCCAACTACTCTTCCCACTTCCCCTCACCTCCACTTCCCTCCCTCCCCGTCTCCCTCTCCCCACCCCCACCTCTTTGTCGCGGCTGCAAGCGCTGGATTTGGGCAGGGCTGTGGAGAGGCGCCGGGGAGCGGGAGGTGGGGAAGGTGGAGGCTCCGATCCGGGCGGTCGGGGAGCAGGGGCCGGTGTCCGAGGCCGGGGCGGTCGAGCGGGTCCCTCACCTGGACTTTCCTCCGGGCCGCGGTATTCTGCCGATGATGGGCCGCCATTTTGCATGTTGACACCGCGACGTCACTTCCTGTCCGGCGGCGGGCGGAAGTGAGTGGGCGGGACCAGCAGGTGAGGCCCTCCTCACCTGGGGACATTGTCTCTCTCGGTCAGTGACACAGCTCCCTCAACTTATCCCATCAATGTGTCAGCAGCATGCTGCGAGATGATGCCGGGAATCTGAAATTAAAGCTAAACAAAAATTAAAATGGCCAGCATCTGCAAAACTGAGCCAACTTCTGCCCTAAAGTATTTTACGGTGTGAAGAAAAACCTTGGCAAGATACTGTGGCTGCTGGAGATCTGAATCAAACACCGAGAAAAAGCCAGAGGCATTCAGCAGGCCTGGCAGCCTCTGTGGAGAGCGAAACACTTAATGTTTCAACTCCGATATCACTTCTGAATGCATTCCATACCGGACTCGAAACGTTGACTCTGTTTCTGCTCATAGAATCCCTACAGAATAGAAACAGGCCATTCAGCCCAACAAGCCCGCACCGTCCCTCCAAAGAGCATCCCACCCAAACCCATCTCCTACACCTGCATTCCCCATGTCTCACCCGCCTAACCTAAACGTCCATGGACACTACGGGCAATTTAGCGTGGCCAATCCACCTAGGCTGCACATCTTTGGATTGTGGAAGGAAACCAGAGCACTCAAAGGAAACCCACGCAGACATGGGGAGAACGTGCAAACTCCTCACAGTCACCCGAGGGTGGAATCAAACCCAGATTCCTGGCACTGTGAGGCAGCAGATGCTGCTGGACCTGCTAAGTTTCTCCAGCACTCCCTGCGTTTGTTGAAGACAAACCATAACCAAAGCATTAAGACCACTTATCCTTCTGGGGAAGGCGATGGCCTCTTAAGGTTTTGGAGTAGATTTGTAGCTCGGGTTGTGGGTGTTGAGGTTGGTTGGCTCGCCGAGCTGGTTTGTTGTTCCGCAGACATTTCGTTACCATGCTGGGTAACATCCTCAGTGCAGCCTCTGATGAAGCTTCGGTGTGTTTTCCTGCCTGGTTTTTAAACTCTGGAGTCCGTTGAGCTGGATGGTCTAGTGGTATTAATGCTGGACTGTTAATCCGGAGACCCAGGTAATGTTCTGGGGACAAGGTCTTTTCCCTGGGGTGGAGGGAGTCCAAAGCTAGAGGACATAGGTTTAAGATGAGAGGGGAAAGATTTAAAAGGGACCTAAAGGGCAACTTTTTCATGTAGACACTGGTACATGTATAGAATGAGCTGCCAGCAGAAGTGATGGGGAACTGGTACAATTACAACATTTAAAAGTCATCTTGATGGATATGTGAATAGGAAGGGTTTAGAGAATGCTGGCAAATGGGACTAGATTAACTTAGGATATCTGGTTTGAATCCCAACATTGCAGATGGTGGAATTTGAATTCAATAAAAAAAACTGGAATGAAGAGTCTGATAGTGACCATTAAACTATTGTTGATTGTCAGAAAAAATCATCTGGTCACTAATGTCCTTTAGGGAAGGAAACTGCTATCCTTACCTTGTCTAACCTACATTTGACTCCAGACCCACAGCAATGTGGTTGCCTTTGCCCTCTGGGCAATTAGGGATGGGCAATAAATGCTGGCCTGGCACTGGCTGAATATCTCCAACACTTTCTGTTTGTAATTTGTACTTTGTCAATGTGCTATAAATGGGGTCCAAGAAAGAAACCAGGAAAACTTGGACATGAGAGTTCTAATGTCTACAAGACAGGCTTGGGCCAGTTCTTTCAGCATCACTGAGATCAGCACGTGAGCTGAGGACCCTCACAGACAAGCATACAGACCTGTGGCAGACCTGAGTGGACTCAATATATAAAAATAAACAAGAGTTTTCCAGTTATGCTCGAGTAGGAGTAGGCCGTAGTCATAGAGTCTTAGAGCATAGCAACAGGCCCTTCAGCCACGAAACACCAAACTACACTAATCCCTTTTACCAGCACTTGGTCCACAGCCTACTATGCCCTGACGTTTTGAGTGCCAGTCCAAATGCTTCTTAAATGTTGTGAGACTACCTGCTTCCATCACTCTCTCAGGCAGCACATTTATATATTTTTTTCCTTTATTCATTCACGGGATGAGGGTGTCGCTGGCTAGGCAGCATTTATTGCTCAACACAGTTGCCCAGAGGGCAGTTAAGTGTCAACCACATTGCTGTGGGTCTGGAGTCACATGTAGGCCAGACCGGGTAAGGATGGCAGTTTCCTTCCCTAAAGGATATTAGTGACCAGATGGGTTTTTCCTGACAGTCGACAATGGATTCATGGTCTTCATTAGATTCTTAATTCCTGATATTTATTGAATTCAAATTCCACCAGCCACGATTCGAATCCTGGTCCCCAAAGCATTATCTGGGTCTCTGGATTAACAGTCCAGCGATAATACCACTAGGCCATTGTCTCCCCAACATCTGTACCACCCTCTTGGCAAAAAGAAACATTTCCTCAAGTCTTCTCTGAACCACTTACTCCTCACCTTAAGCTTATGCCCTCTGGTCTTAGACACATAGAGTTGTAGAGATGTACAGCATGGAAACAGATGCTTTGGTCCAACTAGTCCATGCCGACCAGATATCCTAAATTAATCTAGTCCCATTTGCAATGGCCTAGTGGTATTATCACTGACTGTTAACCCAGAGAGCCAGATAATGTTCCTGGGACTGGGTTTTAATCCCACCATGGCAGATGCCCACTGGGCATTTAGGGATGGGCAATAAATGCTGCCTAACCAGCGATGCCCTCATCCTGTGAATGAGTAAAGAACAAAGATTTGGCCCATATCCCTCTAAACACTTCCTGTTCATATACTTATCCAGATGCCTTTTAAATGTTGTAATTGTATCAGCTTCCACCACTTCCTCTGCAGCTCCTTCCATACACGCACTACCCTCTGCATGAAATAGGTGCCCTTTCGGTCCTTTTTAAATCTTTCCCCTCTCACCGTAAACCTACACCCTCTAGTTTTGGACTCCCCCGCCCCAGGGAAAAGACCTTGACCATTTACCCTATCCATGTCCCTCATGACTTTATAAACCTCTATAAGGTCACCTCTCAGCCTCCAACACTCCAGGGAAAATAGCCCCAGCCTACTGCCATGGGGAAAAAGGTTCTTACAATCTGCTCTATCTATGCCTCACATAATTTTGTATGCTTCAATCAGATATGCCTTAGCCTCTTCAGCTCCAAGGAAAATTACCCATCCTATCCAGCCTGTCCTCATAACTGAGACTTTCCATCCCAGGCAACATCCTGGTGAATCTCCTCTGCACCCTCTCCAGTTCAATCACATCCTTCCGATAGAGTGGCGATCAGTACTACACACAGCATTCCATCTGTGGCCTAACCAATGCTCTATAAAGTTCTCTGCTTCTGGTCTTCTTTCTGAGTAATGAAGGCAAGCATCCTGTATGCCTTCATCCCTGCCCTGTCTACTTGTACTGACACTTTCAGGGACCTGTGGACTCGTATACCAAGGTTCCTTTGTTGCTCAGTACTCCCTAGGGAGCTACCATTCACTGTGTATATCCTTCCCCTATAAAGCCTCCCAAAATGCATCACCTCACACTTATCAGGATTAAATTCCATCCTCCATTGCTCCGCCCAATTTACCAGCTGACCAATATCAGACTATAACCTGAGACCATCTACCTCACTGTCGACAACACCACCAGTTTTTGTATCATCTGCAAACTTACTAATAATACCTTTTACATTCACAACCAAATTGCTTATATACTTAACAATCAACAAGGGTCCCAGCACTGATCCCTGTGGTGCACCACCGGTCACAGGCTTACAATTACGAAACAACCCTCCACCATCATCCTTTGCCTCCCATTTGCAAGCCAATTTTGTATCCACTTTGCCAACCTGCCTTGGATCCCATTGGATCTGTTGGAGCAGCCTTCCATGTGGGACCATGTCAAAGGCTTTTGAAATTTACATAAACCACACTTGGAAAAGCACAGCCTAATTAAGGACAGTCAGCATGGCTTTGTGCGGGGCAGGTCATGTCTGACTAACTTAATTCAATTTTTCAAGGAGATGATGAAGGTGATTGATGAGGGTAGAGCAATGGATGTTGTCTACATGAATTTTAGTAAGGATTTTGACAAGGTCCATCATGGTAGGCTCATTCAGAAGATTAAGATGCACGGGATCCACGGTGATTTGGCTGTGTGGATTCAGAATTGGCTTACCCATAGAAGGCAGGGGCTAATGGTGGAAGGGTGTTTTTCTGGCTGGAGGTCAGTGACTAGTGGTATTCCGCAGGGATCCACACAGGGACCTCTGCTGTTTGTGGTATATATAAATGACCTGGATAAAAATGTAGTTGGGTGGGTTAGTAAGTTTGCGGATGATACAAAGTTCGATAGAGTTGTGGATAGTGTAGAAGGTTGCCAAAGTATACAGCAGGATATAGATCAGTTGCAGATGTGGGCAGAGAAATTGCAGATGGAGTTTAATCTGGGTAAGTGTGAGTAACTACACTTTGGGAAATCAAATACTAAGGAAAAGTATACAGTTAATGGCAGGACTCTGAACAGCATTGATGTACAGAAGGATCTTGGGATTCAAGTCCATAGCTCCCTGAAAGCAGTCATGCAAGTTGCTGGCTGGTAAAGAAGGCATATGGCATGCTTGCCTTTATTGGTCGGGGAATTGAGTACAAGAGTCAGGATGTCATGTTGCAGTTTTATAAGACTTTGGTTAGGACACACTTAAGAGTACTGCGTTCAATTCTGGTCACCACACTACAGGAAGGATCTGGAGGCTCTGGAGAGGGTGCAGAAGAGGTTTACTAGAATGTTGTATCAGAGATAGTAGGAACTGCAGATGCTGGAGAATCTGAGATAACAAGGTGTGGAGCTGGATGAACACAGCAGGCCAAGCAGCATCATAG